GTTCCATTAGTTGAATTAATATCAAAAATATTTTTCCAAAAAATATCAGTCATAGCTGTTGCTTGTGTTGGAGTTGTTGTTGAATTTTCTAAAATTTGTTTTAATGCTGTACTTTTTTTAACTTTAACAGCAAGTAAATATTGTTTAAGTATAGTAGCTGCTTTATCAGCATTTCTAACATTTATAAATTCAACTATTCTCATTAATAATTCATCATTTTTACCACCTTTAATATATTTATAATAATCACATTCATATTGTGAATCTCGTTCAGGTTTCATTGTAATAAAATTAATCCATAAAGATTTTTTTATTAATTGATAATTTGATGATTGTCGTGCTTGTGCAATTATTTTTGGTTTAGCTGATTCATATAAAATAATTGGTCGACATTTTTCTTGTTCAATAAATATTGTACGATAATATCGAATTATATTTGCATATAATTCCATTTCATCACCAGATGTATGAATTTTTGATGTATCTAATGGTAATGAATAATATTGAAAAAGTATATTAAGTTTTTCAAGTGTTTGTTTTTGATCAAGTTCAATTGTTGGTACATGATATAAAGCTATTGTTTTTTCATATGGTGATATTGGTGATTGAAGATTAATTGTTAATGTTTGAGTATCAGATGAATGACGTGTACGAAATTTTAAATGTGACATACGAACTAAATCAGATAATTGATCCATATATTTTTGTCCACGATATTGACAAACAAGATAACGTACATAAGCAACATAATCATCATTTATAAGAGGCTAAAATTGACATGAGAAATATAGTGTGTTTTTTTTTTGTTCGCATTAGAATTAAGAAAACTTTCGAACGATTCAATCAAAAAAAAAATTATAAAAGTTTCAAGAGAGAGATAGATCTCAAAAAAGAAGCAAAATATTGAAAGTATTGTCTGAAAAAAATGTGTCTTTTTCATGATACTAAATTTATTAAGACGATCAAGGCTCGTCGGAACAACATTCGACACTCTAATTTCACCTGAGTAATCATTAAAAAAAAACTCCGGACATTATTTTATCTTAAATTATATAGGACAAAGTTATTTTTTGATCTGTTCGAAAGTATTTCTAATGAGTTAAAAACTATGAGTTTACATTCTTTTTAAAATTTGTATTAAAATAAACTTTGAAAAGTCATAAAAATTAGTTCTAGCAGAAAACTTTTATATTTTCACTATTGTAATTTGAAACTAACAGATGTTGCACTAGCTGAACATTTTTTTTTGTTGGTCTTTTGGCACAACATCTCAATTTTTATTTGTCCTGAATATTCATTTACAAAAAAATCGATAATCATTTTATGTTGAAAGGACTTATTGAAAAAAAGTTTTAGTAAAAGTTGTAGCTTAATATAATATGATATTTCCAACACAAAGCCGGTTGATTCACCATTAAAATTAATTTGTCAAAACTTTTAAAAAGTCTTTTGCTATTCTTGAACAAATATTGACACAACATTTCTGAGGCAATACTCAAGAAAAGCACATCATTTTGGTTTTAATATATATCGGAAATACTTTCCAACGGATCAAAAATAAACAGATATTTTATCGAAAAAACTTTCCGATCATCTACTATTAGACAAAAAGATATTTAGACTTCTCTTCTTTCGATTGCTTCAAACAGCAAGTCAATAATAAATTCAGTTTACATTCATCTCTCTTAAATGTTAGCGCGTACATTAGTAAAATACTCAGAGTGAACTATAAATGGTATTACTTAACTTCAGTTCATTCGTATGAACTAATTTTTTGATTTCAATAAGAAAAATACAAATGAAATATCTTATAGATAATTTTCAATTATCACTGAAGAGAATAATTGGAAGGAATGCAAACACGTACAATGTTCATCAGATGAATTCTAACATTCTCACAAAAAAACCAATGTTTCATATTTAAAAATTAAAAAATTTTGTAAATGTTATCCATACATAAACATAAACAAACAGGAAAAAAAAAGAGTTGAGTCTTATAGCTAATTATTTAACTTTTATTCTAACATAAATTTTGATTTAACAGTTTAATTCAAGATAGATTTATATAAATATAAAAAGCACTCATATATTACGTAAGAAGTCTTATAATAATCAAATGTATCTTATATATTATAGATTACAATGAATTTTATTGTCCAAATAAATATAATAATACGAAAAGCTTTTTATGATACTTTAAATTGTATTGAATTTTCAACAATTTTTTCAAAATAGATTGGTCAAATTTCATAATATATCTACCTGAAGGATATAAAATTATTTACATAAATAGAAAGAAAAAAAAAAAAAAGAAAGTCCTACAGAAAAGAATACTTTGTTCTTTATTGTTTTGATAGATTAAATAACAGTTCTAAGTGTTCTTGATTTCTCTATTCTATTTACTTTTTTTTTGTCTTTTCTTTTCATCGAAATTAAAAGAATTAAAATAATAATAATAATGATAATAATCATACTTGATTAAGATTTTTTGTTGAAGTAACTGGTGGTCCTAATAATGTTTCTCTTAATGTACTCAATCGTTGTGATCGTTGAAGAGCATCATTAAATTCTGCTAAAATTCTTGATGATCTTTCATTAAATTGTTGTTCAACTTGTATAAATTGTATTTGTTGTCGACAAAAACGTTTCCATCGAACACTATGTAAAATTTTAGCATATGTTAATGATGATAATCTTTTTAAATAAAATGTTTGTAATAATAATGGTAAAGATTCTGATGTATAATCACTATTTAATGATGTACATGTATCTAATTCATTATGAAATTCATCAGATAATATATTTACATCAGGAATAGTTCGAACATGTGTAAGACGTTCAAAATATAAATGACGTTCACGTCCTAAATGTCCAGGATCTTTTGGTATAAGATAAGAACTAAATGGTCGTGTAAATGTAAGATTATAACGTAATTCATTATCTTCAATTTCAGTTTTTATTTCATTATATTCATGTAAAATTTGTTGTTCAATTTTTTCAAGTTGTGTTCTATCTTCTGTTTGAATAAAATGTGTATCAAGTTCATGTGTCCAAACTTGCATTGTTCTATAGAAAATAGATTACAAACCTTGAAATAAATTTTACTAGAATATGTATTACGTTTTTGATTACAAGATTCTCCTTTCTTTTGGTTTATATATGTGTTCTTTTTTTTTGATTTTCTTATTGTTCTCGTGGTTTTTATTCGATGCTTTAATAGACAGTAACAAAAAAGAAAAGAGAGAGAAAGTCTTCCTTTTTTTCTTCCGTTCGATTTAGCTGTTACAAACATCGTTCATGAATTTTTTTTTCTTTAGTTTTTTTTTTTTTTTTGTATAGGAAGGAAGCAAAAATAAAAACAGAACAGTTGAGTTAATAAGAAAGAGAAACAAAAATCGATGACGACGATATGCACACACACACATACAATCATCGTCTCTAGTAAACATGATTTAAATTGTTTGAAAAATTCTAACAACTATAACTAGACAACGACGAAAGAGAAGAAAGATCGACATGGTAACTATATGCAAAAGAACAAAAAAGAAAAAGAAAAAAAGACAGAATTTGTTTTGAAAAATAGAAAGCTTCTAAGATTACATCTAGCATTAATTAAGAATATAGGTTGAAATCAAATTTTATTTTTTTGTTTTTTTTGTATTCATCTCATATTACATTTCTTTTTCATTTTATAATGATGAATAGACATATCATTCATTCAAATTAGAAAATTTATGTAGACTAAACATAGAAATTTAAAATGCTAATTTAAAATCTATCTTAAGTGAATAGTAAACAATACAGTCAAATTAAAATCATATTAATAATACATTTCTATTGTTAAACGATTAATATTAATAATCTAGGAAAAGAAAAATAGTTCTAATGTAATATATTATATATATATAACTTCAGTTTAAGTGTACTCTCGTTCTTGTTTAAATACTTATACATAAATTTATTAAATATTGTAACTACTCTTTGATTCACACCGAAGAACAACTCTCGGTAGTTTGATACTTGAACGATCGATTATGTTCTGATTGCCATTTTACCACAGAGTACACCGACAATTGTTCTCCAATCGGCAATCTTTTGTCGGTAGTGCGAACAAGTGTACAACATTAATAGAGAATATGGTTTTCTTTTGTCTTGTATAGAAACTAGGACAGGTGATACTTTTGTTGAACATTGAATTAGTCCTTCAGAAGTACAATACCGATAGACAAACATGTCTTGATTCAAATAAAATAAATGATTTTCTATGAAACAAATCAAATATTCGAACATTAAAAGAAGCCTACCTGTCGGAAGCAGAATTGTGGAGAAAAAAAAAAAGTGAATACTTTGAAATATAATTGTAGTTTAAATACACTCTCACCATCACTCATACACTGATTGATGTGTGCAAAGCGCTAATTAAACAAGACAATATGCTTCAATGACAGTAATATTATTTATTTTGTTGGACATAAAAATTTTAAACTTTATGACACCTGTTGATATATGAATTTAAAAGCATCGAGACTTTCTTTTTCCATTTTCTGCCAAGATTCGAGTAGTGTCACATATCCAAAATTTTGGAGATGCGCCCACATCTCTTGCAGGAGATGCCGGATCTCCCGCGGGAGATGCGGAAACTCCTTCAGGAGATGCGGTCATTTTCCACTGGAGATGTATCATCTCCTTTAGAGATGCACATCCCCCACACTCACAGTAAATGCTGCATCTTCCGCGCTAGACGTGGATGCATCTCCAAAATTTTGGAAATCTGTTTGAACAAAAAACTTCTCGTGTTAATTGAATCTTTATTTTTTTTTTTGTTTACAGAAACGTCAATACAACATAAATAAAATCCGGTAACAAAATATTCACATAGAAAAATATTGTAACAAACAAACAAACAATGAATAATCGATATCAGACAAACATAACATGAATAATAAGTTTTATCTGCTTATATACTAGATGAATTGAATTTTGATTTGAATATTGAGTATTTATTTTTCCAAACATACACGTGTAAGTAATATTCTTGGTTGAAAATATTCATCAGTTAAAATTTGTTCAGTTAATTGATTCATATCGATTGTTATTTTCTTTTGATTAATATCATTTAATATATTATTATCATTTGTACATTGATCAAGAGAAATATTTGATGAATTTGCTAAAAGAAAAAAAAAAAACAAAGTTTTTCTTTTTTTCTAAATAAATTACATACATAAATTTGAATCTAATTCAATTATATCTGATGAATTTATTTTATGATTAATTTTTGATATTTTTTGTTGTATTGATCTATTTTGAATATCTTTCAATATTAATGGTCTAGAAAAAAAAAACATAATGATCATATATTATTTCATAAATGAAAACAATTACATTTCATTCGTATTTTGTTGTTGTAAAAATGGTGTTAATAAAACTTCATTATATTGTTGTAAAGGTTTATGTATTGTAGATGATGGCGGAAGTGATGGTGATAATTGAGTTTGAATACTAATAAAAAAAAACAAGATTATATTTTATTTGAAAGATCAGAATTATGATTTATTCTTTAGATTATTTTTGAAAATTTATTTGAATTACAAATTGCTTTTGAGTTAAAACTTAACATATGATAGAAAATTAACCATACTAAATCAAAATATCAAATGTTCTTTGTAATTGATAAGTTTTCGAAGACTGAAGGTTCTGAAAATATGATTTATTATAGCGAAAATCGTTTATTATCGAAACAAATTTTTTGATCGGATCTAATTGAAAAAAACTTATGTTTTACTATTTTGAAACGATTGTAGAACTTATTTGAATACATAAGACTGTTCGAATGAGTAAAGATGATGGCTCGAAAATTTAGAGTCTATGATAAATTTTGTTCTATTTATTGAATTTGATTTTTTTGTTAAGAATTTATTATAAAAATTATATTACTAACTGAATAGATCGATGTTGTTGATTATGAGTTATTGATTCTTGAGATTGAATATTCGGAGAGAAGAATAAATCATCTTGACTACTAGAATCCTTTTAAAATAGAATATTAATTATTGAAAAATTTATTAAATGAATTATTTGATTTTTTTTACAGAAGATTCTAAAATCATTGATGATCTTTTACGATAATGTCGAAGTTCTGATGATGATGATGAACTAGATCGATAATGATGTTTAAATTTTGATTGATGACGATTATTTTTTGAATGTTTCATATGAATAATTTCTATTGGTTTAGTTAATAATGTTAAATGTCTATGACATGTATTTATATTTGATAAATTAGGTAAAATTGAACAAATTAAACAACAATTTTCTCTTGATATTTCACTATCATCATCATCATCATTTGATGTTTGAGAATTATTTGATAAGATTTCTATAGTTGAATTTTTTCTATTATCATTATCTGATATTGATGATATATCAGTTTCGGAATTATTCCATAGTTCTTGTCTTTGATAATTGAATCTATTTTTTAATTTAGATAAACGATTCATCATATCATTAGCAAACAAAAAAACAATACGTTATTTGTCTATTTAAAATAATATATTGAACGTATGATTATTGGAGAATGGTCTACATATATATAACCATTGATCTAATTTCTTGATTGTTCTAACACACAAATGCATTTTGAAATTAAAAAAAAAAAAAAGAAGGCTGTATTACTACTTATACTTAGTATTCTTATTCCATTGGTTATTTAGATTTCCTTGGTTATATACACTTATTTCTTCGTATTTTCATTGTTGTTTTTATTTCTATTCATATTATAATGCATGGCATTTTCTCTCACTCCCTACCAAAGTAGATAAGGATTAAATAAGACTATTACGTATCTAAAAAGATATAGTTATCACTATCGTTCGTTAATGTTTACTATATGTAAAGATTTAATTTAATAATTAGTTTAATAAAATAGTATACATGAGTTGATAGGAAGTAGATGAATCATAAATATTTGTGTTTTTTTTTTTTTTTTTTTGTTTTTTTTTTTTATTTTCATTTACTTTTATTTTCAGATAAGAAGGGTCGGTAGTAGAAAATAAGTAACATCAAAATGAGTTCAAGAGGTGGAAGTGTATGTTATAAATGTAATCAAGTAAGTTAATTTATTACAACTGTTTTTGTAATTTTTTTTTAAATAATTATATTCATTTTTTAGCCAGGACATTTTGCTCGTGAATGTCCAGATGGTGATGGTGGTAGTGGTAAGAAATATATATATATATATATATATATATTAAAATATTGTTATATTTTTATTTTTAATAAGGTGGTGGACGAGGAGGATTCAGTGGTGGACGAGGTTTGCTCATGGAACAAAGTTTTGAAATTTCGATATCCAATCATTAAATTTATGTTCTAGGTTCGTACGGTGGTGGAAATACGTTTAGAGGACGTGGTTCATATGGTCAGTTATAGTCTTAAAAAAAAAAAGAAAATTTTTTTTTTTTGTATAAATTTTAAATTTTTAAGGAAGAAAAAAAACAAAAACTTTTTTTGGCAAATAATAATTCTATTTAAATATTTTTACTTTTTTTTATTATAGGTGGTCGTGGAGGTTTCGGCGGTGGTAGTGGTGGTGGTGGCGGTGGTTCATATGATAGACCAGGTGGCCGTTGGTAATAGATAAAGAAATTTAATATTAAAAGAAATTTATACATTTTTTTTTTTAATTATTAGTTATCGTTGTAATCAATCAGGTCATTTGGCTCGTGATTGTCCATCCGATAGTGGTCAAAGTGTTTGTTATAATTGCAATCAATCTGGTTTGTAGAATTTCAAATGATTTAAATCAAAAACTTTATTTTTTTTTTTTTTCTAGGTCATATAAGTCGAGATTGTACGGAACCACGGGCAAATAATTATGGTGGTGGTGGTTTTCGTGGTGGTCGTGGTATGTAATTAATCAATAATATTGTATTGTTTGAATATGAAAAATTTTCATTTGAAGGTGGTGGTAGTGGTGGTGGTGGTGGTGGCGGCGGTGGTGGTGGTAATTGCTACCGATGCTCAAAACCAGGTCATTTTGCACGTGATTGTACTGAACCAGATCAACGCTCTGGCTCAAATCAACAGGGTGGTGACGATGATTAGTTAGATAATCAATAAAAAAAAAAAAAAAACTTAACTTATGTGATTTTATATGTATGAACAATCTATTCACCATCAAAATAATGTTCATACGAAATCAACATAATCTTGATTTTACTCAGTTTTGTTCGTTTTGTTTGTTTGTTTGTTCGTTTTTTTTTTTCTTTGTTTATCTAACTAAGTATAAATTTGATTAAAATATGAAAAGATAACAAAAACAAAATAGAGAGAAGAAGACAAAATATGGGCTTGTTCATATGTATTTTTTTCTTTTGATTTTTTTTTTTGGTTTTCTTTCAGTTTTTTCTTTGTTTTTATTTTCTCTCGTCTTTATATATGTAACTCTTATTTTGTGTTCATTGATTAGTGTTGTTCTACTATGACAGCTATCAATGCTTTTCTATGTACAACATTATTGTTGCTATTAATTAGATGGAGAAAAGAAAATGTTGAAGGATATTGATGAAAGTTATACAGCAAAAAAAAAACAACTTATCTATATCAATTCATTTGCAGATTTGATTTTTAAAAGTTTACAAATGAAACTCTATTGATACTAAAAGTGATTTTTATTTAACAAGTATTAGCTATCAGAGATGGACAAAATCGCACCGCGCCTAGGCGCTACGCACATCTCTCTTTCTCTTTGCTCTACCAATCAGTTTCTCAAACTCCACCGAATACCGGGATGCGCTCATCGAAGCTCAGACTAGTGTAGCGTAGGCGTGAGCAACGGCGCGGTCCGACTTTGTCCATCTCTGTTAGCTATTTTGTTTTTGTCGTATACAAGAATAATACTCTGATATTATAATATGAATGTGTCTAGATTTTTTTTTTTCGATGTATTAAGTCTTGACTCTTTGATATCAATCCATAAAAGTATATCAGTTTGAAGTGTTTTTTTTTTGTATTTGTAGACACATGATAATTAACAGTTAGAAATATTTATATTTATTGATAATGAATAAGCTTGAATGATATAATTACAAGAAATTTATGAGAGACTCGACTCTATGATTATGTCTGTAAAAAAAAATATGTGAAGACTCGAACCTTCGTCTAATTATATTCGTTATTGATAAGGGAATCTTGCCAGATGGTAAATCGGTTTTCGATCGACTTGATATTCATTTGATGAGTATTAGTGAATAATAGAAAAGTCTTGTGTAAAAATTATTGGACAAGTTTTTCTCATGTTTAAAAGTAAATTTTGAGATTGAAAATGAATTTTTTACATGATCCTAGAGTTTTTTTTTTTTTGTTGAAAATGTTCTGGAAAACCAAATCATTCTTAACTTTGTGAGCTTAAGATACGAAAGTCATATTTTTTTTTTTAGCAATATCAAATATTTTGTAAATCTATTAGGATTAATTTATAAGAAATAAGAATATCATATATCAATTTTCTTCATATGAAAAAAATCCTATTTAAATACTTATTTCAAAATTTTAATTATTTTTCTTATTTGATTTTATTAAAATATCATGAAATCAAAAGTGAAAACAGTTCATTAAATGACAGTAGAATAAATATAAACTAAAATTTTTATATATTTTTATAAATCATCTCATTCATGATTTAAACTTCTCTAATAAGTTGAACTCACTCTATTTGCATTACTTTTAAATGTAAATTATAGGATCATTAGAAACAATTTGAATCGTTTTCCTTCTTTTTTTCTTCCGCTATATTAACTGTTTTATTAGATCTGGATATTTTCAATAGTTTGAGTAATCATATATACTATCTAATTAAATAGTATTAATATTAAACTAAGTTTCAATATCAATGACTGTTATATATTTTATATGATGGAATATTTCAAATCTTTGACAAGTAAATTAACAGAACAATCAATTTTTTTTCTTGATATGATATCAAATGAATGCCTATAATATTATTCTTGAATTAAATTCATATAAAATATTAGATTAAAATAACTTTTCTATGGAATTCTAACGTCGAAATTTAATTTATTTATACATCTTTACAAAATGTTAAACATATCAATCGAATTAGATAAAATAAAAAATTAGCTTTTCTAATCTCTTGTAAGTCAAATATATCGATTATCATATTCTAGTGAATATCTTTTAAATAATTGAGAATGTTGAACAAGGTCTCTAGTTTAAATTAATATGTGAATCACTCTTGACTTTCAATGATTCAATTTCAGATAATGTGTATGTTATCGGCTAAGGTTCTACGAAATTAAATCAAAAAATGTTTTGCTATTCATCAATCATCATTCTCTAAAGATACATTTATGCACTTATATTTTGTTGAATTTGAAAGACAAATTTTATTTTAACTAATTGATCAAAAACAAAATATCTTATCAAGCGAAGACATCAACAAAACTCTTATTCATAGTCTAGAATCAACTATTCTTCTTTGCAATTGTATCTTTACATTTCGTTTTACAAAAAATTTGCCAATATCCTGGATTGAATCAAATAAATGAGAATTGACTATAACTGAAAAATTCATTGATAGTCATTGTTATGAAGACTTAATATAAGTAAAGAGAAAATTCTTTTAATAATTTATTGATTTTAGTTGACTAGAAATATTTATTTGTTTGAAAACAAAAAAAAAACATTATTCATATTGTATTTCATAAATGAATTCGATTTATGTATCATTAAATTCAATTTAATTTTCATATTACTTACATTTTTATAGACTTATTTAGATAAGTTAATGTATGTTTTTTTTTTTGTTTGTCTTCTTATGTTGGAAATATATGGTTGATATTCATAGTCAATTTTTTTACGTAAAAAAAATCGATTAAAATTTTTCTTTGAAAGTTTTTCTAGATTATTTGTTTTATCTTTAATTTCATCATCAATACTTCGTGTAAACCAAACATATCGATTATCATTATCTGATATATAAGGTGTTAAAGATTGATAAAATTTTTTTTTTAAACCAAATGGATTATACATTCCACATACAATATTGAATAATATGAATAATATAAATAATTGTGTTGATGACATGATATAAGTTTTTAAACCAAATTTAGCTTAATAAATTTGATAATTGATATAAAAGTATATTATTAAATTATGAATAAATTGTTTTCTTTTTATATGCCGAGAAGAAAGAAAAACAAGAAGACAAATTATTGTAACTATAAAAAGCAAAAGAAAATGATAATTTTGTCATTTAATAAGACTTCGAATAGGATAGAGTGATCCTAAGTAAACCCCTCCCCATAATAGAAGCCCCCCTTGGAGGGGTCTCTCCAGAAAAATTTTCAGTTTTGCCCAGCAAAACCCGGCCAAAGTTTGCAGGGTCTAATAGAAGCCCCCGGGGACTTCTAATATGGGGAGGGTTTACTTCATAGGACATTATTCTTTTGTTTCATTGTATTTCACTCGACAACTAATGTCAAAAGACAAGAATATAAAGCAATATTATTGTACAATTGAAGAATGTAACCTTTAGTAGATTGAGCAGAGAAAATGCCACCATTTTACAACTTATCATTTGGCTAGTTTAATCAAACTCGAAGGTTTTTGTTCGGTCTTTACAAGATTCCAAATTTTCTCTAGTTTCGTTTAGATCTATTTGAATTATCTTTAAATGTATATGAATTACTAGATGTCTCAAAAGACTCAACTACTCGTCATCATATTAGTAAAGAATTGATAAATATCGTCATTTAAGATTTTCTAACATAATTCGAACAACGTATCAAAAATAAGAAATACAACAAAATACTAATCACTGGGATATAAAATCATATTCTGAAATAAAATTTATCAACAAAAAAAACAAAACGCGTGAAAATACATTAAATACGTAAGCTGATGCGCACAGTACTCAGAATTTTTTATGTAGTGGTATTGACCACAGACATGATGAACTTCCTTGAGTGATGGTAGAAATTGTAAGGATTTAACACTTGTAAATCTTAAAGTATGAAAACAATGAAACAAATATATTCTATGTCCTGATTACTCTTCTTATCTATTACGACATAATCGTAGTGATAATAAGATTGTCCTAAGTATTTAATATAGAAAGTGCACTTGATTGATTCGATGAATTCTTCTCTTTAGTCGAATGAAATTTAAGAAGATATCGATTATAGCAAGAACTTCATCATAAATACAGATAATAATACTGTATGAAATTTTTTCTGTATTTTATTTGACTAAAAAATATTTTGTTATTTCAAATGTACAATCATGTTTTCGTTTTCTCTCAATATCTTTTCTTCCTATTGTCTCTGTGTCAATAGGTACTTTTTTCTTACTAAATACTATTTGAATAAAGTAGTTAATTATACTCATCTTTTTGAGACAACTTGAATTTTAGTCATGCAGATTAAATCAGAAGTCAAATTAAGAAATGAATTGACACGAGAATCTAGGTCTATTAAATGTAATTCGTGAGTTAATTCTGTTACAATAATTATACTTCAATCGATCTCCAATCCTAAGATATTTTCAAAAACTAATGTCCTTGATAATTTATTTTGATGCATATGCTATGAATGATTTGTGATGAAACACTACTGCTGATTCTTTTGAAATCAGAAAAAAACAAACTTTATTCAATCACTCTACATTTCAGTGAACTCAAAATTATCACACTCTTTATAAGCAGATGACATCAGGACTGTCAGCTCTGAACCGTGTCCTGTATACGATAAAAGTTTAACGATTTGTTGATAGAATACATTATAGAAGCGAGTAGTCTAATATATAAAGGATGGCAATAAATGGGAATTATTTTTCTACGCACTTATTCAGTATGAATAATAATACGAAATCTGTATACACTCCGTATTTCACTGTATTACGATCGTATTTCTCTGTATACACTATGAAGAAATACGATCACTTATACCAGAATTCGAAGTTAAACGAAGGATTATATGCCTACTCAATAAACGACTGTATTCCTTCGTACATAATACGAAGAAATTCGATCGTGCTTGTTCGATCTGAATAGGTAGGTGGTATATGATTCGACTGAGAAGGTGAGTATATCAGAAATTGAAATCTTAAATTTTGCTTTCAATATTCAATGGAATATGTATTATAATATTGTAAGCTATCAATAGAGAATAATCTTCATTTAGTTTTATCAACTTACGACAATGAAATATTGAATATAATACAACCAAATGTTATAAGAATCAAAGTTTTGAGTTCGATGTACCAAAGAGAGATGAGTGTTTGAAATAAAATGTGAATCAATCTTGCATAGTAAAGACAACAGAAAAGAGAAAAAAAAGAGGTGGGTGGAAAGAATCCATAAAGAAAGATGATGTCATTCAAACATAAGAGGAATGTAATTATAATATATTCTTCAACTATTCAATGTTCTTGGACATATACTTTCCAGACTCTTGTTTTTCTCGATCAATTAGTTAAGATTATGTTTTTGAGTCTTCAAATTCAAATAATGTTCGTTTTTCGAATAGAAAACCAAATGAAACTTTTTACTTGAAATTCAAAATGAAAAAAAAAAAAAAAACAAAATCTCATCTGATCGAGCATGAAAATAAGAATCTGAAATGAATTATAAAATTTCTTCATGTGCAAACAAGTTTTTTTTCCTTATTTGACCTATAAGATAAATGTCATGCAATGTCTATATCTACATATTTTTGTTATTGTGTACGTCATGTAATGAATCAAAGACATTATATTCAGATAATCTATAAGTTGCATGTGAATATCAGGTAAGTATAAATATGAAGAGAATTTATTAATTCATTAGTAAATTGTGTTACAGTTGATTTCAGAACGCTTACAAAAATCATATGATGAACACAAAAGATATCGATAATGAAATGATTAATTCTATTATTAATTTTTATTAAATGTTTTTCATTTCAGCTTTTTGAGATTGTATGAAATGAGATGTACTTTGTTCTAATTATTTTTTTTTGTTAATGTACGCAAGATTTGCAAAATATACGGCTAAGGATAGTGACTAGTGTAAATGACAGTTTGAGTTTTGCAGATATATTTTATTAAATAGAGCCAAACAAATGTTTCCTCAAGGCAAATATTTGAGCTGGTGTAACCGTAGTTAAATTGGCATAGTCAATGTTATGTGGGCGTGGATCCTCTTTCATTCATACACTCAGCCACACCACGCTCACACCCACCCACAGGATGTGGGTGTGGGGTGAGGGTGTCTTCTCTCTATTGGTCATACCCACACCCATTTAACACCTACTATCACTTCAATTATTTACTATATTTTTCTAATTGATCAACAGAGTTCTTAATATTTTCAATTGAATATTATTACTTAAATGATGATTATGTTTATTTTTTGTTTTGCATTAACAATGATTTGATAATTGTTATTAAGAAATTTCTAGACGTAAATTAATTATGCGTTGGACAAACATAGGTATTAGTTTATATACGTTATTAAAACAAAAATTTCATTAAATTTATCTCATGTAGCTTATTTTCGAAAATTAGTATTCTTATTTTTGTGTTTAGTGTAAATAATGTCAATTATGATTGATAGATATATTATTGGTGATTTTTAAGGGATAGATCATTTGAGTAGTAAAGAAATTGATTTGCATAGAATTTTATGATACGTTATTATGAAATAACAAAAAAATAAATAAAGACATCGTACTCAGATAAATTAAAACGGAAGAACAACTTGACGGATGCGACTCTTGACTATTGTTTCGATGATGTAAAAAATAAATAGTTTAATATACTTATTCTAAGTCAAATCACCTGTTAGTGTACTACATAAGATTATTTTTAGATGAAATTGATAATTTCTTCATTTTTTTTGTGCCTTAAAATGTAAAAGGCATTAAGGATATTTCCCCTCTTTTTTGACTATTTCTACGTGTAGTCCTTGAACAGGGCACAACACATTCTGCATGAAATTTTTACCACAGATGGAGTACCTAAAATAAGAAGATACATGCTTGAGAAAAATGTTTAAGCAAGGTATGGTAGTTATTTTTCATATCAGGCCTACTTATGATTCCTAGATAACTTTGTCTGATAAGGCTGAAAATATCTTAGAGATATATTTCAAAAGTGATTTTAAGCTTTTTCAAAAATCTAGCTTTTTCTTTTTTTTTTTACGAAAGAAGTATGTAAAGATTCGATAGAGAAGATTTCCAAGTATTCATTATCAATCGTAAGTGGTCCTTTTTTTAGGTTCTCTATCTGTGATAAAAATTTCATGTCCATTGATTGTATCATTCTCTAGCACTACAAATGGTCAAAAACAGGAGAGTAACATTTGCACAAATTAAAATCATTTATTATAATAAAGTATCCATTTCTATTACGAAGTTTTTAATAGGATAAAATCGATTATCCAAAAATCAAATTTGTTTATATGAATTGCTTTATTCTCATACTTAGCAAATCAATAATATAAGAATTGTTTATATACAATTTGATGCCGACTTCGATTAGTTCAATTTAAAAAATAAAAATCAATGATTTATATGATTATAATATCATGAAGATAATAGCACATGTAAGGAATTCATATTCTGAAATAATCTAAGTGATTAGATATGATCACTCTATACATACCGTATCGTTAATGACTAAAATAAAATAAAGGCAGAAACTTGATTATAGTCACCGAGATTATAAAAGCCAATACTGTAATATTGCCGTTTCATACAGTTTTTGGTCATTAATAGGTATATATTGACGATTGGTAGGGATCATGTCACACATCAAACTTGGAATAGATTGCAATTAGTCTTGATTTATTATTGGAGCATGAATAGAAAAAAAAATTGAAGTCTCGCATAGCTTGATACGAGAGAAGTATTGAGTCTTGGAAAATACTCTTGAATAGTTCAGATTTAAATTAAGATATCCTCAATTTTTACAGTACTTCATTATTATGGACAAACTACAGATGTGAAGCATTCGAAAAAACTAGAAATCTCTGTATATTTTGTAACAGTAACGTCAACATTGATCATCATAAAATGTAATATAAAGGCATTGTTAAATGCTACACT